CAGGAATGCGTGAACTCTGCCCTTTGTACCTGATATCTGCCAAATGGCAATTTACCCCATTGTTGTCAATATTTGCAGTAAGCATTTGCATACAAAGACACCTCACTTCTGTGGTGACCCGTGGTCATTCCCAAAGGTGATAAAGGTAGACCCATCCAGGTGATGGGGCACCGTGCACCTAGCATCACCGATTACAGGATTCATACCATCGGGAAGACCCCGAGCAATTTTCCTCGCAGGGAATCTAACTCCAGTTTTATCTGCCCCAATTCCCCCCAGAACACGCTGTCAACCAAAGCCTGCCGGGCTGTTCCCAAGTTTCCTCTTTCACATTTGCTCTTGCTTGTTTGTTTTGTCTTCTGTAAGCTCTCGTGGCTGTGCCTGAGTATCAGCAGCAGCACTAGCAGTTGACAGAGAGCTTAACATGAAGGCAGTTCTATCCATTTGCGTAACTTAATTCTGAAAATTGGGCAAGGACGCCCATTTTTGCAGTGCATGGGTCACCCCAGTCGAGCCTACAGCTCATGGGTGGGGGGAGGGCAAGGTTTAAGAACAGGGAGATGTGTTCCTTGGACAGGCAGCGGGCCAAGCGGAAAAAGGAAAGGTCTTGAGTCAAGTACGTGGCGGTTCAGTGACTTTTAGTCGTGTGACACTGTGCAGGTCACTTCTGAGTAGCTCCACAGGGCGTATTCACAGGAGGGAACAACTGCTGTGACACTGGTGGTCCTGTCTCACCAGCCAGAAGTCATGGTCAGCTGATCCTTACTGGTTCAGGCATTAACCCTGTAGGCACTGGGAAATGGAGAGGTCTGGGAAGTTCTGCAAGTGGGGAAGTGGGGACACTCAGGGGAGTCCAGGTGGCAGCTCTTTACATACTGGTGTGGGGGAATCACATGTTGGAACCACTGGCCCTCCCAGTGTGCACCAGCCCATCCCCCTCCTGCCCGTTGCACAGTTTCCTTCCAAGAACTCGGGGAGCTCACAGGTGTGCAGGGCCCACACTAGGGGGAGGTAAGGTGCTCGTCTCCTGGGCAAACTTTAAGGGGGCGCCAAAAAACAGTCATCGAGATCAATAATATTTTGCAGCAATGTTTTAATGCAAAAATTAATGCAAAAAGAAAAGGCGCGCTGAACAACAAAATATCGAAGTTTCAAATAAAGACAGGCTCAATGCGAGCTACGGTGCGTCCCCGGCCGCCATCCTGACGCCCTCCTCCACCGCCAACCCGTAGGTTCAGGAGAAGGAGCGCGCGGCCCGGCGGCAGCGGTGGCGGCTGCGGCGGCTGCGGGAGCGGCTGCGGCGCAAGGACGAGGCGCTGGGGCTGCAGGCGGCGGCCCTGGAGCGCGGCCGGCGGCTCCAGCGGCGCCAGCTGCGACTGGTGCGCGAGCAGGAGCGCATCCTGCGGGCGCAGGTGCAGCGGCTGGAGTTGGACGTGCGGCGCCTCTGCCACGCCGCGGGCCTCCTGCTGGCCGAACTGGACGCCCCGAACCCGGGTGGCCCCCGAACCCCGGGCCCGGCCAGTCCCCGGGGCGCTCCCGAGGAGGCCGCGGAGCCGCGCGCGCTGCCGGCCAGGGCCGAGCGCGGCGAGCGCGAGCGGGACCAGGCGGCGCGCCGGCTGCGGGAGCAGCGCGCCACCGAGCGGCTGCTCCGCGGGCAGCTGGAGGAGCTGCGCTGCTGCATCTATGGGCTGAAGCTGTCGGAGATCGGCCTGCAGGGCCAGGTGGAGGAGCTCGCCCGGCAAAACAGGTGCCTGCGAGAGGAGCTGGGAGCCCAGGCCCCCCGAGAGAGAGCGCTCAGCACGGCCCCTGCTGGTCACGGTAGCCTGGTAAGTGGCCGCAGCCCAGAGCACGAGTGATTTTCTGCTTTTCTCTAACTTTCTGCCGCTTGGTCAAGTCAAGGGCTCCGTCATTCCCCCGTTTTCCTCTTCAACCACCCCTGCAACCCACCAGCCCCGTTCACCCACCCTTCATTCCATGCGCACATCTACCCGCCTGGTGGTGCCCATCCACCCCTACAGCTTCACTCACCTGTTCACCAAGCCAGCCACCTCCCCACCACCTGTCCACCTGCTCAGCCACCGTCCACCTGTCCGTGCCCTCATGCACTGTCTTGTCTACCCACCCACCCACCCCTCTACACACACTCCATCATCTCTTTCACCCGACCATCTGCTTGTCCATCTCTCCTTGCAGCCACTCTCCAGGCAGCCAACCAGTTACCCTTCACCCCTCCTCGTCTGTTTCCTCCTGTCCGTCCATCTATCTGACATTTGATGGGTCCCTGCCTGTGCCAGGCCCCGTGCTGGGCGAGCTCCTCCACGTGCAGTATGACATTAACTGTCATGGTCTCGTGACTTCCACCCCGATCCCCCCCTCCCTGGGAAAGCCATCACCCTTTCCCACCTCCCTCACAGCTCCGAAGGTGACCACGGTCCCCAGCGTGCCGGTGCTGTACGTGCATCTTCATTTCTCCTTCTTTAGACTGTGAGCCCCTTGAGGGCAGGTCAGATGGCTTCTGTAGCGGCCGCCCCAGCAGCAGCACACAGGAGGCACTCAGGACTGTGCAGTAGAGAACTTGCAGGGTTCAGCTCCTTTCCAGTTCTCCTATTTGCTAGCTGTGTGACCCCAAGCAAGTTTCTTAAGCTCTGGAGCCGAGAGCAGGCTGGGCACTGATGTCATCACCTAACTGATAGACGAGCAAAAACTTAACGTTTAATATACTCCTGCCATGTGCTTGGCACCCTACGGTGTTTTCAAAGGCATCATTTAATGCTCATAAAACTGTAAAGCAGGTACTATTAATGTCCGCACTCCACAGAGAGGAGGCTGAGGCTCGGAGAGGCAGTGCACTGACCTGTTGTCACACAGCTCAGAAGAGGCAGAAGTAGAATTGCATCCAAATTGGATGTGAGTCCAGAGTGCTTTGTTTCTCCTGCATCAGGCTGCCTCCCTGAAAAGGGAGAGTTAACTCAGCTCCCTCCAAGACATCAAGATCCCACTGGGTTAATTTGCATTTAAGGAAAAATAAGGGAGCCACCTTAGCCCAAAGAAGATTACTCATTAAAAAAAAAAAATCAAATTTATCTTTGGACCTGGACAACCTATTTCAAATTAACTGGAACTTTTTAGTCTTCTCTATATAGTGAAGTGTATCCTGCCTAGATCATTTTAATAATGAGTTTATCTGTGGATATATTTTATCTTTTTAGTAATTCATCCTACTCATGTTACTTCTGCGTGTCCTTTTCGTTCTTCCTCCATTATGTTCATCAGGTAAAAGGAATACAGTGTACCTTTAATATTGGCACCTTGTTGTAATTTCAGAAAATAAATCGTGTAGAGATGGAAATTGTCATTTAGAATCCTTTCTGTAATTTTCCTAAACGTAAGATTTTAATTTGGGCTGTTGGCTTACATCCTTATTCTCCCAATCTTTCTGCCTTCCCATGCACTGCCACTCTTTCTTTTATCTAAGGAAAAGGGTGAATACCTAAATATTTTAGAGATGCCTCCCAATGTTTTGTACGTTTTGTGTTCTCTCATTTAATCTCTAGTGCAGCCTTGCAAGCCAGGTGCTGTTATCCCACTGACTAGATGGAGAAACTGAGACCCAGGAGGTTAAGTGACTTGACCACAGGCATGCAGCTCCAAAGTATTAGGGCCAGCAAGGGGACACGGGCCAGATCAAGGCTGTGACTCCAAGATGCTGTCCTTACCTTAAGATGCTGGGGCCAGCGTTGGTTCTTGCGGAGTTTGGGGCAGTGTCAGTGGCTGCGTTTGACAGCTTGTGTGCCATCAGTTATAAGCCCCTTGTTGACATGCATCTGTGACCTTCTCGATGTTTCATGCCTTATCATTTAAAAGACCCAATGCCCAAGGAGAACTGCATGCTCTCAAGACCTTGCTGGAGGCTGCTGTGCACAGTGAAAAGTCTCTCAGAAATTCCCTAAATTTCCCATAAAGTGTGGTCCCCAGCCAATTCTGCCTCTATAGCGTCCGGAGAAGCCAGCCTGTTATCAGATGCGTAGCAGAGGAAGCAGGGGCCCGTGGAATAGAAAATGCTGATCCTTAAACATGGGAGCCATACACACTGGGGTGAGATGCTCATGCTGTAAAATGGCAGGTGGGACCCGGAGTGGACAGAGGCAGTGGGTTCTGCTGGGTGAAGGGGTAGTAGCACTTGCTGTCTTCTGAGTGTGTCAGAGTGAAGAGCCCACGGGAGTGTGAATGCAAGAGCCCTTTAAAGATGGAACAAATGTCAGTTACCATTTCAGCATAGAGTGTCATGGGACGGTCACTGATCCTGGCTTTTAGCAATCTAAAATGGCAGCCTGTGAGCATCCGGGCTGGGAGAGTGATATTAGCAAGGGCTTGCTTTGGCCGTCGGTGTCCATTTCATCGTGGTTTGTGCATTTCCTGTGTGGCTTGCTCTCACTTCTGGGAAGTGGCTCCCATCCCCTTGCTCAAGATCTCTCCAAGGGGGCTCGGCACCAGGGCGACCAGCTTCTTGCTCCAGCCAGACGTTAGCAGTTCTCCCAGATGGAGACAAGCAGGGCCGAGTCCCCCCAACTGGTGGGCCTGGAGCCTGGCCCTGCCTTCTAGGAGCCCCGGGAACCTTGCCAGTCGTTTTATTTCTATGCCTCAACATCCTTATTGAGCATATAGAAACGTAGGTATTATGAGAGTTTCCTGGGGCTACCCTAGCAAAGAACCACAAACTGTGTGGTTTCAACAATAGTCCTGGAGGCTGGAAGCCCGAGATCGAGGTGTCGGCAGGGTCCTTCCTTCCGAGGCCTGTGAATGAAGATCTGTTCCGGGCCTCTCTCCTTAGCTTGTGGGCGGCTGTCTTCTCCCCGTGTCTCATTGTCTTCCTTCTATGCATCCCTGTGTCCAAACGTCCCCCTTTTATAAGGACACCAGTCATATTGGATTAGGGCCCACCCGAATGGCCGCATCTTAATTTAATCAATTGTGTCTCTATTTCCAAATCGGGTCATGTTCTGAGGTCCTGGGGGTTAAGAGTCAACTTAGGAAGTTTGTGGGGGGGACACAATGTAACTCATAACAAGTGCCCTCCTGGATGCGCCATTATATGACGCCCCGTGAAACAGTAGAACTGTCGGTTCTAGTTCCTTGATGTGCTTCTCTGCTGGCTTCATGGGGGTACAAAACGATTCCTAAATTTATGAGGGAGTCTTTGCACTAGACGCCATCTCTGGTGCTCTACATCTGTTGTCCGCTCATTTTGTCCCTCAACGACCTTCAAGGGAGGCACTATTTTACCCCCATTTTACAGATGAGGAAGTGAAGGCCCGGAGAGTCCCAGGGTCCCACAGATAGTAAGTGGTGGGGCAGGATTTGTGCCCCGGCAGGCTGACCCTGAGATGAGCCCGTGAGTGCCACGCTCTGCTCCTCCGGTAACTAGTGGTCAGTGGGTCCAAAATCAGCATTTAACGGGTGCCGTACAACGAGGTGTACTCGGACCTGAGCTTGGTACCAGGGCTGGGAAATAAGACAAGACCCCTGCCTGCACGGGATGACAAGACAGCCTGGAGAAAGAGGGTGCAGTCAGAGGAAGGGGGAAGGGGCCTGACAATCTGTGGGTCACTGTTAGGGATCTTGGTGTTTGGAATGGGGAATGGACCCAGGGCCACAGGGTATGTCAGAGTCTTCCAAACTGTCCTACTCTCAGAGGGCACTGACAGCCCCGACTCTGAGCACCTTGGAGTCGAAAAGGGCCACTTTGAAAGGAAGAAATCCTCCAGAGAGCGCACTGGAGAGATGGGAAATGCCAGCCAGTCACCAGCTCATGGGGCAGCATGGCTTGCAATTTTTAAGTTAAAATGCTAGAATCTATTGATAACAACACTGTAAAGCCAGACGGTGTCCCTCAGGTCTTGGTCTGGCCTGTGGCCATGGCTGTGCATGTATGAAATTGTACTCAGTGTTCTGAGGGCATTGCATGCATGCACGCATGATTTCCCAAGGCTGACAGTGCATTTCCAAAGGGGCAGGACCCAGAATGGTTAAGAGCCACGCGGCTGATCTTCAGCACCCTTCTCTGGATAATGGTGTAACCCCCAAATGATCTCTTTTCATAAGCCCCCAACAGCTCCATCACCTTGGGATCCAGCTCCACTTTCTAACCTCGGCATT